CATTGAGTCTTACTTTTTTAATAGGCAATCACTTGATTTGAGTAGTTATCCATCTCAATATTAAACACCCTCATTTCACCTTTATAAGTGTAAAGGAGCTTCTCTTTCCATACATTGTATCTCCTTTATGTTGTTTGATAATTATCAAATATGCATACATATTTTATTTAATTTAGATAATTATTAATATATTTTATGCTTATAAATCTTATTTTTTCTATTACAAAACACTTAGTCAAGAGTTAATTTCAATTTTATAGAATTTAATCATTTAAATATTAGATATTTTTAATGTTTTTATTTGTTGAGATACAATAGTATAAATAATTTGGAAGTTACAAATTTCAAAGGGAAACCATAGTTCTAAACTACATAGAAAATCGCTTTAAGCTAGCAAAATTCGCTCAGAACAACCAAATCATTGTTTGAAGTGAGCAAAAGTAGAGAGCACCCTTGGAGGAGGATCACACCAACTCGCTCATAGTGAACTACTTGAGCATTTTAAGTAAGCCAAAACCAAGAGCATCATTGTAGTATGCATACACTTGCTTAGAACGAGTCACAGGTAGGCTCTTTGAGTGAGAATACTTGACCTAAAAGTCAATCAGAAAATATCATAAAAATAAGATCTCTAAAAGGTCTATGTATTCATTCTTACTTTTAAAAATACAATTCTAGAGAGATTAGAGAGAATTGTTATGAGGTTACTCTTGTAATCACAAATCGTTCAAAGGTCTTTCTTCTATTTTGTAATCCTTAGTTATGAGTAGTTAAGTCCTCTACTATTGGAGATTGATGCAACTGTTGTAATCATGTAATCTTTCATTTTCTCATTCAATATATTGTTTTTATTCGGCTAATTATTTTTATACTTAATGTGTGATTTGACCAAAGCATGATTTTGTAATTTTATCTAAGGTTAAAAAATCCTTTTAGTTTTACAATTCAGGTAAAACGTTGATAACATTTATTATCGAGGATTTCGGATGAACTTTATCAATCAAATTTTGATTATTGATCTTAATGCATGATTGTTTAACAAACTTCATCAAGAAAATGAGATTTCTCTTAAACAACTTAGAGTTTCTTACCTAAAGAATAAAGTTTAAATATAATTGTGGACTATTAAATTAATTATATAAATTCTAATAAATAAAAATCAGGGAGGATTTATACGGGAAAGATTAGTAAAATCAATATATGATTGCTTATATTATTATATAAATTCAAATTCTTTAATACTTTATTATATAATTTTCTATAAATTTTCATATTTCATTATAAACAATTATAAATTTATTTTATTTATCTATTTAATATCAAAATTATATTAAATAATTATAAACTAAAGTATATATAAATTTAATATTTAAAATTTTGTCTTTTTTACTATCTACAATAATTAATATACTTGATAAATTTATTTATATTTTTGCTCACAATTTTGCAAATGTGGGCATTTGAATCCTTATAAGTGGCTCCACCACCAATTAGAGTAATCCATCTAGCCCCTTAATATGCCAAGACAATCTAAAGCTTTGAAGATTCCAAGTTATCTCGTACCACTGTAATATTACATTTTTCACAACTTTATATCAAATTTCTCATCACTTAATAGGTCACGATTAAGTGTTCAATTGAATTCATCTTTTATTGGTCATTTACGTAAATTTTCTACCTGTGAATAATTTTGTTTGAAATAAGTGAACGTAAATTTTTTACCTGTGAATAATTTTTATGTTTGAAATAAGTGAAATGTATTAATAATTAATTATTGCTGAAAAGTACTACTCCGTAATATTCTTTTTAAAAAAATGCTAAAGAAACCTCGTAATTTCGTAAATAATATATTATACTTAATATTGTGAACCGAACCCAAATTAAAAATGCTTGAACTCAAATGGTATTTGAATAATGGATCTTCGAAGTACAAGAACTATTTTTCATAAAAAAATTATTGTACGGATAAGCGTGGTTTAATTAACAAGTAGTTAGTGATGAAAATGTGATAAAGACATTTATAAAAAGAAGTAATGACGAGGGACTTAATAGGACAATGAAGCCAAAAAAGCTTGATTGCATGTGATTGAGATGGAAAATGGAAATGAAGCTTTTAGCAGAGCATGATGTGTAATAATAGAGGTGAAAGTCAACACTCACAAATTCAGGAGTCTCATTTCCAATTTCCCATTGTACCATGATATGGATTCATGATATATGATCTGACATATTTATATATCACGAGGCTTGCAATTCATATTCATTGTTTGTGTGATTCCACTCTCCCCGTCCTCTATTTTCTTGCAAAATAATCCATTCATTACCCTTGCAAAAATACAACCAACAAAAAATCAATATTCCTTGTACCAAAGAAAAATAAATAAATAATATTCATATTTCTGTCATTGTATATTTATATGTTTCATGATACAAAGTAACGGGATGTCGGCTTGATATATATACTATATAGGAATTATTATAGTATATGTTATAAATTGGCTTCCATAATATTTAAAATATATTTTGAATTTTGTACGCATTAATATTTCATCGTGTGTGGGACGACACATGATCTTGTTTAGAAACTAGATTCAGTATCATAATTAGATGAATAAATTAAAATTATTTTGTTCAGGTAACTGCATGATGTAAAGTAATTTCACTTTCTAAAATTCGGGCCCATTAACGAAAACTATAATGTGATCATACATATATCGTCAAACTAAGTCATACTTTTTTATGCGAAAATTGAGTAATTATCACTATTGTGGAAATCAAACTTTAGGAATAATTTATTCTGTTTAATTTCTAAAATATTTTTAGATTAAAAATATCAACTAACTGTTAACTATGCTAGACTTATAATTCTGTTAACTATGCTCTACTAAACATGTTTATAGACCAACTATATGTTAAAAAAAAAAAAAAAAAAAACTACTACCGTTAACTATGCTAGACTTATAATTTTAGTATTTTTCTTTTACATCCACTTTCGTTTATATTGTAATTAACATGTTTTTAATGCTATCACACTTATTATTTAATATTATGTAGACATATACTTGTCACATCATTTAATTAAACCTATTTATTAATATTACATGTAACTTTCACATACCTAACAAAAAAAAAAATTATATATAAATATTGTAGTTTTTGAATTTCTAAAATATCGAAGTTATTCTCCATACTCTGTAGTGACAATAAAAAATAATATTCTTTTAAATAACACTATCTAATGTGTTTATTAAATATAGTATTTACAAAAGTAAAAAAAAAACGTGATTAAGCGATTTCTTTCACTTATAATATTAATTTACATATTTGTTATAACTAGCATTGGTAATACTAAAAATCATTACAGTAATTAAATATAATTTATTTACTTGATTTAATATTTACTTATATATTACTATTAATAATATATTGTTTTAAAAATAAAAATAAAAATATATTTCACCATTATTTAGTTTTTAATTAAATATATGTAAATAAATTTGGTAATAATAAAAATATTATTTTTTATTTTCAGTAAATATAATAAATTTATTAATTTTAATAAATATAATATATTATTAAATGTACTAATTCTCATATCAATCTATATACATTTAAAATATTTGATAGTACAGTACACAAATGGTACAAAACTAATATAATATTATATATAATTAATTTTGATAATACTATGAAATATTATATTGATTAAAATATAATTAAATTTAATAAATATAATATATTACTTTTTCATATCAATCTATATATTCAAAATATAGTATTTATAAAAACAAATTTCTTCTTTATATAATATATTAATTTATTTATTTATTAAATATTATATCTTTCAACGTTGATATAAAACTATAAAATATCATATTTATTAATATAATATATACATATTTAATGATACTTTTCATATGAATTGATTTTTATGTTTGTCATGCAAAATATGGATAAGAACTTAAGCATCAGGGTAAAGGGCCACAACATTTGAATAAAAAAAAGGTGAAAGTAAAATATTTATTGACAATCACTTAAATAAATCTTAGCATCTCTAAAGATTAGTTGTTAGTTTTTAATTAGAAGATACCTTGATTTACTAAAAACAAAAAAGCATGTACATATATTTATATATTATTATTAAATAATAAGTGAGGGGACATTGAAACATTAAATTTAAATACCCTTTTATTCCTTATAATTTTATAAAATTTTATGTTTTAGTTTTTACAACTAAAAATATGTTATTTTTTAGTTTTTATAATTTTAAAATTTATCCTTTAACCCTTATAGCAGTAGACGATGTGAGTTAAGAGAAAATAAAAAAAAAATATTTTTAAATATAAAAATTATAAAATTAAATAGATATTTAAACATAAATATAACATCCAGCATTTATTTTTTCTTTTCTATTGTCTGTTTTGTAATAATTCTTTAACTCTTGACTTCCCTCTAGAGTCTGGATCAAAGTCGAATTGAGCAAGTTTTTACCACCATAGGCATAGCAACCCAAAATAGAAGCATAGTAGGTTGTGGCGGTAGAAAGTATAAGGAGCGGAAAGAGTTAAGTAATAATTTTGTCATGATTCAACCACATTTAATCATTTGTTATTTATTCTTGAGTAGTTGATATGAACGAGTTAGTGCTGAAAACACACTAGTACCATCTTTATCTTACGCAATGATATGCGTCAACCTTAGTGGCGGGCAAAGGCGATGGGAATGTCACAGAGGTAGTCATTCACGTTAACATCTTGGACAATTAGTAACACAATGCAACCACTATTTTGTACATATAAAATCTTTTGCTAGATAACTTATTCTTACTACATTCCAATCTTTCTCCAGAGGTTTATGGATAAAATAAAGGTAAATAGTAATTAAAATAAAAGGCATTAGAGCCTAGAGGGCAAAGCATGTGCAGTCCACAGATTAGCGTGGTGATTGGGGAAGAAAGGCAGATATAAAGGTGAATAAGGACTAAGGAGGTGATTATTATGTAAAGAGTGGGAAGAAATAATGTTTAGTATGGCACATGGTGATGGACCCAACCCCCTCCCTTAAAATCTATGCTATCTCTTTCCCTTCCCCTGATTCATTCCTCTTTCTCTCTTAAATGTAGGGTCTTTTTCTCCCCACGCTCTCTCATCCAACAAACAAAGAAGTGAAGAACCTTCTCCTACTCTTTCTCTCACCCCTCACCCCTCACCCCTCACCCACCGCTACAAAACGCAAACCCTTATCCTCCCCAATTCTCACATCATGCCACTCTCTCCCAAAGGAACTAATTGCAACTCACCAGAATTCGAGTTCTGGATGCTCCGAAACCCCTCTTTCCCACAGCCTAATCTTCTCTCCGCCGACGAACTCTTCGTCGACGGCGTACTGCTTCCTCTCCACCTTCTCAAAAAACCCAACCTAGAACCTCCGATCCGCCAACCCTCTCCATCCATAACCGAACCCCCCTCCTCCTCCTCCTCCTCCAAGCGCTGGAAAGATATATTCAAAAAAAGTGATAAGAAAAACACGCAAGACAAAGAGAAAGCAAAAAAGAAAGAGAGAAAAACCGGAACTTCACCCACTTCCGCGGAATTGAACATCAATATATGGCCTTTTTCGCGGAGCAGGTCTGCCGGAAACGCGGCAACCCGACCCAAATTATTCGCCGGAGCTCCGCCCACCCGGAAGGTCAACAGCGCGCCCTGCTCCCGGAGCAACTCCGCCGGCGAGTCCAAGTCCAGGAAGTGGCCCAGCAGTCCGGGCCGCCCCGGCGTCCACGTGGGCCGGAGCAGCCCAGTCTGGCAGGCCCGCCGCGGAAAAAACTCCGATCCTCCCCAGAAGCCCAAACCTCGCCGGAGCAAAGCCACCGCCGCGGGTTCCACCGCCAGGGTTTTGAATCTGAACGTTCCCATGTGCATTGGCTACAAAAACCACCTAAGCTGCCGAAGCGACGATAACAGCGCCATTGGTGGGAGCGCCGCCGCCGCCAATGGGGGTAATATTTTTAACCTGCGCAACCTCTTCGCTAAAAAATGCGTAGTAACTTCTCACTAGTGTTACTTTTTTTTTCTTTTTTTTTTTTTTTGTGGGGGGTTTAGATTTTCGTATACGGAAAGCTATAGTTGCTCTTTTTATTTTGTAACTTTTGTATGTAACCAAAGGGGTATCTCTTTCTGACTTACAGAGATTAGGAGTTGAAACTAGATTCGTTCATGTCATAGTTAGTAAATGGTATCTTTTTTTTCTCTTTTGTGCTCCTCCTCGTGTAATCTGAAACGCTTTATCAGAATGTATTTATTATTATATTATATTATTTAAGTTCGGTTGGGACTTTTCATGTGGGTCTTTTTGCTGTTCTTCATTTTTTACATTGCCTTTTTTATGCTAAGTTTTACATCATTAGAAGGCAGGAGCACAGAACAGAGTTTTATAATCATGACCTCTTTTGTTTTTATTAAGTATATATGATTTTAAATTCAAATTTTGAATCTTTTTAGCATTGAAGTAATTATAGGTTAATTCCGTTGCAAGGAAAGTGGGATGTTTGTTGAGAAAGGTTTCTGTTGAGGCATGAGAGAGGTTTTACTAAAGGGCGTGGAGTTATTGATTGTTGAAAGAAATGAATGCTCTTTAGTCTTTACAGTTGTGTCAGCAACTACTTCTGCTTCTTTGCTGTCATGGATGGTATGGCATAAGTTGGATTGTTAGGCGTTTAAGTGCTTTTCACTTCATTGCTGGAACTTGGACACAGTACCTAAAAGAATATACTGTTGCTGCTAAAACAGAACTTGTTATTCGAGAAGGGTAATTTTATGGAAAACATAATTAGGTGGGATCAACTTTGAGAAAATTAGTGTGTGGTTGAGTATATATATAATTAATTCTATATCAACATAATTGTGTAGAATTGATTGTGATGAAATAAATATAATTGTCCATTTTTTTTCAATTATAACTAGTTTTTTATATATATATATACATTAACAAACTAAATAAATGTTATTTGTTCACGGTTAAATCGTTCTTTCAAGTACATATTAGTGTCAAATTTTTATATTCTATTTTAAAATAAAAATATTTGATTTTCTATTTTTAAAAATACAAAATTTTAATTATATTATTAATTTGAAGTTCATTTATAATTAATTTTTAATGTTAATTTGTGATTAGACTACTTAAAATGATATAGTGTTTAGTGTTATGATATTTAGAGATAATAAAAAATATTAAAAAAAATACATGTGAGAGATTTTTATTTGTATTTAATTTGATGGATGATTAATATTTATTTTATTTTTAAAATTTATTTGTACGTTCTTTTTTAAATTTTTTATATTTATATGTTATGTGATTTAAGTAATAATAGATCATTAATGTTGAAATTTATTCGTTAATGAAATTGATAATAAAATCAAATTTTTATTTTTTTAAATTAAAGGACTAATTGACTTTATTTGAAAATAAAAAAAATAAAAATTGTGAATCAACAAAAAATATGATAAAAATACAGTTTAACCTAAATAAATATACTGTAACTTTTTTACTTACTCTTAATTATTAAGTTAAAAAATAATACAATTTTTCCTAGAATTGTGCATTAGGAAAAAAATAAGGGATTGAAGCGTCAATATATAGTGCAAATATATTTTCAATTACATATTACTCTTACAAGTGAAAAAATTACTTAATTAGTTTATCTCATAATAAAATGTATTGAACATTTTATAAATTATAAATATATTTAGTTTAAATGGATTTAAAATATTATTATTTAAGTTGTCCATCAACTAAACCTTAAATACACCAAGACTCTCAAAAGGTGTTGGACACCCATGTTTTGTAAGTGTTATGATCGAAACAAAATGACTCATTCTATTATAGATGCACATAATTAATTCAAAAAAATTGAAACAATCCCTTATTTATATAATATAGACCCAATAGTTTTAAAAGAAAAAATTAAATTGCAAATAAACAAAAAAATTAGATGAGTTGAATAGGATGAGTCAACCTAGTTTCATCCACATGGGCTAATTCATCTGATCGGGTTTGATTGAGCAAGCTTGTATTATACATGAGTTGTAATTTATGGGTTATCAGGTCAGTTCAACTAGAACTCAAATGATTTAAGTTTTGGTTTTATTTGGACTATCATTCTTAAAGTCAAAATTGATTCTATTTATGGGTTGTTAAAAGTAAATCAATGGATCAAACCCAAATTAATACCTCTAAAAAAGCTATGTAATGTTATCAATAATTAAGTTTATCAATAATTTTGGTGAATGATAAAACAACCTCGTCAAGTGATAAATGTCATTTTAATGAGTAATAAAATAGCATCGTGGTCAAGTAATACATGTCATTTCAAAGTATATGTGATAAAAAAGATAGTAAATTATAGAAGATACAATGAGTAACTCAAGGTTCATAAATAATTTTAGATGAAATAACCTCTAGTCAAACGATGTGTGTCATCTCATATTGGATAATAAAGCAACCCTTAGTCAAACAATGAATGTTATTTGGTAGAAAAACAATAAATTAGACAAAAACACTAATAAAAAGTTCAAAAATAATCAATATCTTAGCCAAATATTGCATGTCATTCAATGAATAATATACATACAAGAATAAGGTGGTATATTCAAATAAACATGGTCTTAGAATAAATTTTGTGTTATAATTTCTAAAATTTTGCTTAATAGATTTTTGATGATCACACTTTTGTGTAAAAATTATTTCTCTTTTGCACACACGTCTCAAAAGAAATGTTAATAATATACTCAATATCACATATTATTTATTATTAGTTAGAAATTAAAAAAAATTATATATTTTATTTTTTAATTAATGAATATCACTTATATTTTATAATTTTCAATAAAATTTATCCGATAGTGTAGAGTATGTATTTGAAAGTATTTTGTTAATACACCTTTAAATCATACTTTCTTTATCTCATTTTTTGTCGGTGATATATTTCATAAATAATTTTAGATGAAACAATTTTTAGTCAAGCGATATGTGTCTTTTAAATATGTAATAAAACAATCTTTTAATCAAGTGAGAAAAATAATAAATTAAAAAAAATAAAAATAAAAAATTCAAAAATAATGATTGATGAATTAGCCTCTTTGAAACGTGACATGTCATTTTGGTGAATAAGTAACCTCTTACATAAATAAATAAATATATATATATATATATTTATTTATTTATTTATTTATTTACTACATATAATTATCCTCAAAAACCGGATCTTTGTTTGGAAAAGGCTAATTTTTGAGTTTGAGACTGCCAAGCCATTTTGCCTAATAGTTCTGACAAAGATGTTTACATGTTTGAAATGTTGATCAATAGATTGGGAAAAAATTAAGACATCATCAATATAGACGATGGCAAAACTTGTATAAGGATTAAAAATGTCATTCATAATCTTTTGGAATTCTGAAGGAGCATTTTTTAATCCGAATGGCATAACATTCCATTCATATTGTCCAAAGGGAACAGTGAAGGCAGTCTTGTACCTTTCTTTTTCTTGTATTTGAATCTGCCAATATTCAGATTTCATATCAAATTTTGAAAAGATTTTGGTAGAATGGAGATGATTGAGAAGATCCCCTAATCAGAGAGGGTTTTAATGCTTCAATTCTTATGTGTCTTAGAGATACAAGGCACAATGATTTCCATGACTCTCTTATAGGAACCGTCGAAACAAGCTTAGGACATGGTCCTGTTTATTTCAATTGTTTTCCAAATAAAATTGTGAGTCTTTTAGATAGAAATATCTTAGACTCATTGTTTTTAAACATTAGACTGCATGGGTTAAACATGAAAGAAGGTTCTATCCCTGCAGCCCTCCTTTATAGGATCCAATACAAAGTCATGAACACTTGTAATTCAAGGGTTCTTCTTAAAACAAACGATAGGGAAACCACCTTGTTTGTCACAGACATGACAAAAGCCAATGTTGTTGTTCCCAAACTCATAAAATGGGATGAAGTAGAACTTCCTACAACTTGGCAACTTGAAAGAGCCACACCAACCCTACCCAGACAAGCCCCTGAATTCCAAGAAATTAGGCAGTCTGATGCTGGCAAGGTAGAGATTATTTTTGATAGGAGAAACTCTTTCTCCTCAAGAACCGAAGCTACTAGATCAGAATACACTTCTGCTAGAAGATCCTTTTCGGTAGCATCACAATCTAGTACAAACACTATTCCTAGAATAATTATTCCTAATACAAATCTTAGAGGAATAGAAACAAATTCAACCATTCCAAGAGCTGTTTACCAAACCAATGAGGAGGATGATCAAAAGTCTATCCAGTCTCCAACCTATTCTTCCCTCAATGATCATTATGATACAATCTGAATTCCAAATTGATAAGGAGGCCCTCCGTAAAGATTTTGCCTCGGAGGAAAACCAACCCCAAAGATCTTGGTTTTTGAAAAATTACCAAGGTCCAAAAAGAATACAGATTCAGGAGATTTATTATAATTTCTTGAACCATGTCAAACTGAATATATATACCATTTCTTGATTGGTTTCATGCTTATACCATTAAGAAAAATATAGATTATCCTTTTAGAGATGATCTTATAGGACAGTATTCCACAAATGTTGTTTGGCATCTCCAAGACGGAGAGAAGGTCCAATCTAAACTTCCTCCCAAAACCCAATATCAACTCCCTCAAATTACACGGCACAATATTTATTAATATTAAGGAAAGGGTACCTCATAACATGAACTATTCACTACATATAATTTTTATCCTGAAGAAGCCTCTTCTTTGGCAGTACAAACCATGGTCATATGTTGTAACATATGCATGATATTGTATTCAGATTTACCATCAATATTCCATTCATAAACATTGTTAGCATTAAAACTACTATTATTAAGGTCCTTATCTTCTATGGCCAAGTCTAAGGCTGTGGAGGGATAAGGTTTTGTTAGGCCTTTCCATTGGTTTCTGGAGGTGGTCATAATAGGATTAATCTGAATGGATTGAGGGTTACTAGAATCAGAATCTTGATCTGATCCTTGGTTTAAAACACTTATAGTTCTTGCTCGCATCCTTATTTTAGGTCTAGAAGATGCTTCTTCAGTACCTTGGGGAGACTCAGGAATGGTTGTTGCTTTAAGTAAATTATTAATTTTACTTAATAATTCACTAGCATCAGAATCCATATTGGCTTTTGCCTTGGCTTTGTGCAAATTTTGTTTAGCCTTTTGACTAAGCTTAAAAGGCTGAAATAGAGGTTTTTCTAAATGTTTTGAACTTGTGGCTTGGTTAGCCAGTGATTGGCTTGATTCAGATTTATGGGCAGCTA